TGTTAGGCTATCTGCCATAATTTGCTATTCAGTATTGATAACTCTGGTGAAATGACAAGTGCTTGTGAGGTAATAGATACATTCTTTTAAATCTGAACAAAGGGTAATCTTAGTTGCTTTTGCATTTGAGAATGTCCCAACGTAGATACTCAAAACGAACATATTTGAATAATCTGATTGTAGTTATGACATAATAATCTTAAGGAAAAATTGATTGTAATAATCCCAACTATTGGCGGTCCGCTCATAATAATCCCAACTATCGATTATTTCAGAATAATCCCAACTTTAGGGACCTTCCCCCAATAATGGTCCGATGTGACTGACTATAAATAAATTCCTATAGTTTCTAAAGAGATATAGCAGGTAATCCCTATAAATAATCGCAAATTTTAATTTTTATGCTTAATTTCTATTAAAAATTCACTTGTTAGAGCAGGTAATATGCGGTCATGGACCATTATTGGCAGATGGTCCATATAGTTGGGATTATACAAAAATAATCAATAGTTGGGATTATTGTTAGCGGACCGGCAATAGTTGGGATTATTATTTTCAATTTTTCCTAATTTTAATGTCATCTATAGGGTTAAATTAATTATTTGAGTCCATCAGTGCAAGTCCAATTATTGAATTGTTTCTTTCTCAGCATTCAGTATCTGAAGAGGACGAATCATGTCAACTGGATTGGGGCTTGAATCACTTGTTAACCGTACGTAATTGTTCCATACTCACAAAAACCTTACTATGCTAACAATGCTATTTGGTTCTATATTTGTATCTAAATATTTACTTGTATCATTTTGCTCCAGAGACAATATCAGTGATTACCAATGATGGACGTAATATAGTGGTTAGTTTCATGATCATCAACTACCTTCCCTATTCTCTTCTGAGTTTTATGTTTTCGTTTTTACTTTTAGTATATGCTTTCTCCATCCTACTATGTTTGTGACAAGTGAAAATGGATTAGAAACTAACAAAGAATGGAATATCTTGTTGATATTGAGTTTGTAAAATAAGAATTAATTTGAGTCACATAAATGTTACGAAATGTGTGGTATGAGACAAATGTACATAGTTGGACAAAGAGAGTATGTATAAGTGAACAGAATTGCATATAGTCTCAGTGGCTTGAATAGTTACTGTGCTCTTTGTTCAGGGAATTTTGAAAGGATATGACCAGGCCACAAACTTAATTCTTGATGAGTCTCATGAAAGAGTGTATTCAACCAAGGTCTGGCCTAATCTATCTCTTATCTTACTTTTTCTAGTTTTCGATCATAATTGTTTAATTTTGGATTTTGCTACACCCAAAACGTGTTTGTTCATGGTAGTATTAGGTAACCGGACATTGGTTATGATAATGCAGGAAGGGGTACAACAGCTTGTGTTGGGACTTTACATAATAAGAGGGGACAATATGTATGCATCCGTTATTTCCTATGTCATTGCGCATTTGATAAAAAATAGTACTAGCTAGCATTAGTAAAGAATATTATTGTGCCATAGTTTATTCAATCTTATGGAGTGTATCAATTACTTATGCAGTTGTGTTGTTGGAGAATTAGATGAAGAGCTGGACGCGAGCTTGGACTTGTCTGAGCTTAGAGCTCATCCCCTAAAAGCCGTTGTCCACTAACTGATTTCCTCCTCTATAAATGGATGGTATCACAATGGATCATCCTATGAGTTTGGGATCAAACCCATCAAGTAGCAATGGATATGCTCATATGTTATGCTAGTTGAATATATTATTACTATCTACATCCACTTTTCCTAGTGCTACTGAAATGCTATTGTGAATTATGCCCCCATCTCTTTGTGGGGCAAGAGCTTAACTTTAAAAGAATTAGGGATACGCTTTTTTGTATGTGGTATTTGTAGGGTCCATTAATGTTTTGAATTAGCTCTTGTTATGGCCTTGAGATCGTACTTTTTAACCAAACTTTGAGAATCAAATAGTGGTCTAAACGATTACATAGATTTACGTATTGAAATTAATTGTAATTGATTACAGACATAATTTAAGAGTTTTTATAAACGAAAAAATAATGAAAAGAAAACGAATTAGAAGATCTTAAGCAGAGAATATTGATACTCATTCCTAGTCTCATAATACTCAAACGAACAGGTTTGATGCTCAACAAAATTGTGTTATTCAAGAGGAGTCGTTTTTTCACCAAATATAAAAATGTCATCGGCTGTACAACTGGCGCTGTATGTCCGTACTGTACATCCAGTTGTATAGTATACGCTTTGGGCAACACTTTTATTTGTGACCTCATTTGGACCACACAATGTGTGTGGGGTAAAATTGTAAAAATTGGGTATCTCATTTTGGGGTACTCATAGCATTACTCTTTCATACATTCCAGTGATTACATTGCATCCATATATACCGAATGGAGAGGAAAGAAATATCATCTTTTTTAAGTGAGATGAATAATAATAGGAATACATGGAATCAAAATATAATTAAAAGTTAAAGCATCGGGTAATGTAATGGGCATGTATAAAACTTTGATGCGGTTTCCTCGTTTTGACTAGAATAGTTCAATAGTAGGGATGGACTGGGATGGGTCAACCCGATCTAGTGTTGGATTCGGTTCGAGCCACCCGGCCCGTGACCTGGCCCGGCCCAGTACTGTGCGGGTCCGGGATCGGGTGTGGACCCGAACCGGTGGGAATTGGCGGGGCGGGCACGGTTCCGGATAAATGTGACCCGGCCGGGTCGGGCCCGGGCCCGGGTCCGGGCGGTCTGATTTAAAAAAAAAAATTTAATTGGTACTAGGCTACTAGCCGTTGGGGGTGGGCTGAGGACAACCCAAACGGCTATATAGCCGTTGGGTGGGGTCCGGGGGGGGGGTCCGGGGGGGGGGGGTCCGGGGGGGGGGGGGGTCCGGGGGGTTGGGGGTGGAGGGGGTGGGGGGTAAAAAAACCTATAAATACTCCTAATCTTAAACATTTTTTCATATCTCTTCTCCAATTCTTCCTAAATCCTATTCTTAACTCTCTACTCTCTAATTCTCTTATTCTCCAATATATTATATTTATTATTTATATATCTACTTTATAGTTTATACGTAAGATGTTAAGATGGAAAATCAAGATGCCATTATACGGTATAATTTTGATAAGCAGAAGGACCCGAAGACCGGGATGTGGTACGCAATTTGCAAATGGTGCGAGAAAAAAATGTAGCATGGGGGTTTCAGGCGGATACGGGATGACAATCAAGCATATGAAGTCATGTGACAAAGCCAAAGGATCGGGAGGTGCGGGAAGTTCCGATTGATTACATTTTTCAAAATGTTTGTCTCTTAAAGTTTGTTTTAATTTTCAAATGTAGTTCCTATTTCATTTCAAATAAATGCACTTGAAGTTTGTTTTTTATACTCGTATAAAACTATAAACTATAAAGTATAAAATATAAATTATATAAAAAAAAACTTTAACCGGCCCGGCCCGAACCGGACCCGACCCGTGACCCGGGCGGGTGGCTCGGCCCGAACCGGACCCGACCCATGACCCGGGCGGGTGGCTCGGCCCGAACCGGACCCGTCCAACCCTCGAGCCGGTCCCGGGCCCATGTGATACGAACCGGCGGCCCGACCGGGCCCGACCCGGCCCGAATCCATCCCTAACTCGATCCATGCCTGATGCTGTTTAGGCTCGGCCCGGTCCCGGTACAAACTCGGACCAGTACCGGGTCTAAAATTTTTAGGCCCGAGTCCGTTGGGTCCTGACCTGAGGCCCTGACCATCAGGGGCGGCTTTGAGGACAGTTGGGCCAGGCAACTGCCTTGGGCCTCAACTGCCAAGGGGGCCTCCAAAAAATTCTACTCCGGTATTAGTATTAGGTGTTATTCGCAGAACGCCAATACATCAAGCGGCAACTGCAAACAGAAATCAGCTTTATAGTTCACTTTTGACTATCCTTCCTTCATCAAAGTTGTAGCTAATGAAGTCTTCTATCCAACACAACTTGCAAAACTGGATTTGAATCATCCAATCAAAATATATGAAAAAAATGGTCGAAGGTCGCATTCTGAAATCTCAACAGAGATTATCTGACTTCATCGTCTGTTTTCACCTTTCTTCTCTCAGATTCTCACAATGGTGTCTTCATATGATTTGTAGCCCTTGAAGTTGGCTTTCATATGAAACTTCAATCATGTTCTTTGGATGTTTCTAAGAAAAGATATGCTTGAATGATTGACAGAACGTCATCCTGACCGTTGTTTTCAAGCTCTATTCGTCTTCTTTTGATCCTGTAGCCAATTCTAGAGCTCTTTTGTCTTCAAAACTTCGTCTTTAACACGTCACTGACCTCCAATGCTCCTAATCAACTCTAAAATGCTTCTCAACTCGTCCCTATTGCTTCTGAAATGCCGGTGCCAGGCTCAAATTCCCTGATTTTGACTCCAAAAATACCAAAACTCGAACCAACGGTCGGTAAATATGACTTGAGCTTAAAATTGAGACTTATGACACCTTAAAGTTAGGAAAAAACTATCAAAAGCCGATCTCAACACGCATCAAATGCGTGTCGAAATATGAACTTATCAACGTCCAACACAGACCGCTAATCGGCTACTGTATATATGCCTCACTGCCCGCCGTCGACATGGGTCCTTGGTTAGTGAATCAACTAAGACTCTTCAGCTATTCGCTATGAGTCTCGTTCTTGAAGTCTCTTAATATTTTTACAAGTACAAGTTTGCCTTGTGTTTTGCATATGTTTGCATTTAAAAATTTATCCTTTTGAATATTACAAACATTGTATCGTGGAATTTGAATATGCTTTTTTTCATAAGACGATTTTTATTCAATTTATCTGATTTTAAAAGTGATTTGTACATAGTAAATATTTTTCGTCTGGAGCCTCTAAAATGCTCAAAAGTGATTTTAAAATATTACCATCCCTATTCAATACGGATATCCATGGGAACGATCAGTCATCCTTAAGAGACTATATTATAGGAATATTTACATTTTCAGCCCAAATAAATCTCCATATTTGAAATCCGAAGCCCCCAATTTCAATCCCTAAAATAGCCATAGTCGATAGAGGTCGCCGGAAAACAATTCGCATGTAACTTGAAAGATAACCGAAATCGGCCTGGAGAATTCGGCACAAATTCACCACCTAGAAAGAGAAAGACATGGCGGAGGGCGGAGGAGAGGGGAAGAAGAGGGTAGTGGTGGAGTCGTTGGGATGGCTGACGGAATCCTCCATCATGCCGAGGAAACATCGAGTCATCCACGGTGTTGGGCCGTCATCAATACTCGATCTCAAGGCTCAGCTCTACAAGTCCCAGGAGGACTCCAAACGCCTCTCCAAGGAAACAATCTCCGGCGCCGACCCAAAATATTCCCACCTTCAAGTCCACCGCGCCAGGGATAAAATTTCCGCCCACGACCCCTTCTCTGGAAAGAATTCTGGTGTCGATGCTCGATCTACCAAGTAATTTTTTCTCTAATTTATTTTTTTAATTTCACTTTTCAGCTCTTAGGGTTTCTAGATTTTGATTTACCAAACGATCGTTCTTTGATAACTATTGCTGTTAGATCTAAAGCTCACTTTAGCTCACGTAAAAATGTTTTACAACTATGGTTCTGCTGTAGTCAATGATGAAAACTTTTTATTTTGATAGCATAGTAAACCAATATGCCCTACAAATTGTACTTAAGTGCTTTTCTTTTGGGTCTTATTCTTGAAAGGGTAATGACAATGCGTGTTTGAACTATACTTATAAAGCTATGTGAGGATCAATGTGGTAGCTACATTTGCAAACGCATTTTCTGGTTATTTTCTTGATTAACACATTTTTGTGTAATTTATATCTGATTTTGCTGCTGAAGTACTCAAGGTTGAGCAGAAAAAGAATCCCCCCATATTCAGACATGTTTGTTTAATATTTTTTCTTATCTGGTTTTCATAATTTCCGGGTCATGCAATTGCCCAGTCCAAATATGCATGCGCTATGTGACTTAGCTCACTATCTGGAAGGCGAGAACCAAATGCTCATTAGCAAACTAGATACCATACTATCTTTCCCAACAATAAAAAAAATTCATTTAGTGTGCTACCTCCAACTTCCAAGACATACTTTTTAATAAACAATGTGTTCGAACTGATTTGTACATTTAAAGGGACAAGCTTGAACTGAAAGCTGCCAGTGACGGGACAAATAGCTATGCTGCTTTGGAGAAAAAGGCTGAGTTATATGAGAAGCTAGTGAGAGGAGAACTTTCTGATGAAGAAGATAAAGAGAAGTATTGTGTTGATTTCTTACGGAAAGGCATAGCCCTCGAAGAAGCGTCAAAACTGCCTCCACGGCTGCATCACACTTCTAGTTCAGAACCACCAGATGAAAAAGATGAAGACTTTTTGCTGACTAATGATGTAAAAGCTCCGGGACTTGGGCGTGTGTCAGGCGCAATAGACCGAAGTGAGCATAAGCGGTTTGTAATGTAAGTATCTATCCATTTACGGATCGCTCCCCCACCATTTTCATAAATTTGCACTTTAGGGGTTGATCTTTTTAAAAACTGCTAGAAAAACAAGAAATGCCATATATGTACATGCATACACACACACACACACACATATATAGAGTACTCTTCCGGTCAGGGTCAGGAATTCCTTACCAGAACCGTCGTCCGGACGACGGCTTTTGGGGCCCTTCCCGGTGGAATTTTTTGATGAAATTTTTAAGGCATGTTCTTCATCAAGTCTAGTTCATCCACAAAAAATTTCAGCTAAAAGTTCAATCGGGAAGGCCTGTCAAATGATTTTTGAAAGATAACTGCGCCAAAATATACATAAAACGCAGTTAACTTCCAAAAATTATTTGACGGCCTTCCCGATTGAATTTTTAGCTGAATTTTATTGTAGATAAACTAGACTTGATGAAGAACATGCCATAAAAAATTCATCCAAAAAATCCACCAGGAAGCCGTCCAAATGCCGCCGTCCGGACGGCGGTTCTTGTCCGGAATTCCGGATAGGAATCTCTCTCTATATATATATAGAGAGAGAATCCGGTTCAAATTGAAAGTACTTCATAGGTGAACAATAAGAATTAAGGTGAGAAAATGGGTGGAAGAGATCAAATTTGAGGTAGGAAACGAAGTGGCATTTTAGTACTTATGAAGATTCTTGGATGAAAATATTGTAACAAAGTTTAACATAATATACAAAGTGTATATGTAGAGTATAAAAGTGCATCAAAATTAAATGTGCATAAGTTTAAAAAAATATGATAATCTTTTTTAGTAAATATGAGTGCACTTTTATCATTTTTATCTATAAACAATCAACTTTGTGTTATAACTCATGAACAAACACATATATATTATATATATGTATGTATATAGGCTCAGGTTCCAAAGAGAGAGGTTCTTCATGTGAGAATGATGCACATATTGATTAATAGAGTTCCACATTTCTGGTTGAGATAATGCACACTTCACAATAATAGAAATGTTCACGTAATATAGAAAATGCCACTGCATTTTTTCATTCATTGCAATGCACATTTTGGTTTCAAATAATGCACAACTCTGAAATTCAACACTCCACATTAATTCTCATTTCTCTCTTTTGGATCATATTCTCATTTGATCTAAATTATCTTATATGTATGTATATTTTTTATATGTATATATATATACACACACACCCACACACTCCAATGAAAATAAAGGTAAAAGCATCACTTATTTTCATGCTAGCAAAAGTAATACTTTTAGTAAAATGTTGGGTGTTCACGCTTTTTGTGTACATCTTTCATACACTTGTTTCATACACTTGTCTGTCTTACGCACACAGAGTTGTCTGTACACAGACAACTCTGTGTGGGCCCTACAAAGTTATCTGTGTACAGACAATTCTGTGTGCGTAAGACAGACAAGTGTACGAAAGGTTACACCAAAAAGTGTACACCAAGCACTACTGATACTTTTATACTGCATGTTATAAACCTCAAATTACAGAGTCAATCAGTCAAATATGTGATCGTTAATAGAAAATATAGCTGATAAGATTATTATGTCTACATTCCACAAAATTATTTTCATTTAGAGGTCCTTTGTTTTTAAATGATTTGGATGGGTTTGTTCAGGGAAGTTCATGAAGAAGCGAGTGAAGCCAGGCAAAAAGCATCTGAACTGAAAATGCGTAGGGAAGAACAAATTGCTGCGCGTAGGGAGAAACTGAAGCAGGCTTATCTCAAGAAACAGTGCGAGAAGTTGATCGCCCAAGTAAAAGCATCACAATCACAATAACATTAATATTAACCGTGATAAAGTTAAAGATGGGCAAATGTCGTGAAGGCTTAAATCGCTATCCCTTAGAAAATCAAAAGGGTAAGAACCTGAGAAGTTATGGCCTCTTGTGAAACTTTGCTTTGGCAGATATGGTCTTCTATCAAGCGTGGTCTTAATATCATCAAACTTTGCTTTGATGTTATTACAGATCTCTTTCAATCACATCTTAGATGGTGAGAACTGCTGATGGCCAAATATCAGACTACTGTAAATTGAATGTACCTTTGATGAGGATACTCACACCCACCTCTTGCATCCTAGAGTTTGACCTTGAAGAGTTGAGAGCATAATAGTCTTTTGAATGTCCAGATATCTATCAGTGGACCATATTGGTCTTGAGTTGTCAAATTTCAGAGGATCTACTTCAGTATGTTGTGCAAAACACAAACATAAGGCTTAGTTTGGCATATGAAATGTAATGTGATCAAACTAATTTGTATCGTAAGTTTGTACTTTGTACCACCAATATACTATCGTATTTGATTACATCACATCTAGTCCAGTCTACCACTGGTTCTGAAGCGATTTTAAAGATATTTTACGCTGGTAAAAATGTTAAAGTTACTGAGCTATTGTATTATCCCCCCTCAACTTAGCTAACTTTACGTTGATCGTTGAGTGGAAATTAGAAAAGTAAAAATTATGTATTTTGAAATATATTAGTTGATGTGACTAAATTGATCACATGAGCTCGTATTGTTGTTCCTTCATGTGCAAAAATTAAAATGAAGGGAAAATCATATATATGGTCCCTCAGTTATCCACGAAATTAAAATTTTAGATCTGTATTTTTTAGATTGTAAATGTCACTCTTCAATTGTCCAAATTGTTGTAAATGTGGTTCTTTAAGTGGTGAAATATACTCTCGCTCACATCGTAGATTTCACTCCTCAAAAGGATCACATTTACAGCATTTTGGACAATTGAGGGGTGACATTTACAATCTAAAAAATAGAGGTGTGAGATTTTAATTTCGTGGATAACTGAGGGATGATATATGTGATTTTCCCTAAAATGAAAGTAATGATTTTTCCCCTCAAATGACCCTCATTAATCATTATTCCAAAGACGGTACTATTTTAGTTAAACCCTCGTACTTGGACATTTAAAACTCTGTTCTTAATGTACAAATATACTTGCACAACATTACTGAGCTAAGCCTAAATATTACGGACCTTGCACACGATGTTTGTTTATCTACAAAACTCTAGTTTAATTAGACAAACAGGACTCCATGGCCCAATGGATAAGGCGCTGGTCTACGAAACCAGAGATTCTGGGTTCGATCCCCAGTGGAGTCGTTTTTCTCTTTTTTTTTATAGATCCAAAGTTTTTTAAAGATTCTGGGTTCGATCCCCAGTGGAGTCGTTTTTCTCTTTTTTTTATAGATCCAAAGTTTTTTAAATGTAATTGTACGGCACAACTTTGAATTTAGATTTGGCAAGAAAATTAAAATTAACGTTGTAGCGATATCAAGGGCGGGTTCCGGGGGCAAGAGGGGCGATCGCTCTAGGCCCGAAAAAAGAAGAAGAAAAATAGGCCCATTTTTTATGTAGTGTGAGTAGGCCCAAAATTATAGTTCAATTAATTAGGCTTAATGATTATTTTTGTTAACAATTTGAAAATTTAAAACATAAATAAAGAGTTTTAAACAGAGACAAGTTTAAAATGAAATATATACATTAATTTTTAGCGGGATCGGTTGTAGTGTTTAAAAGTAATACTATTGTTGCTGAATAAATAAAAGACACGTCTCTCTAGTCCTCACATCTTTTTAGCTTTTAAGGTTTTTTATTCAATTTAATTATAACATAACAAATTTATATAATTATTTTAGAGCCCGTTTTTCTCATATTTCACCCCAATTATTCATTTGTTTCCAAATTTCAATAAGTTATATCTGAATTCCTAATAGTGGTTTTAGATGAGGTCAAATTTGCAATCTTCTTGCGTGAGTCTTCTTGGCAGTCAAACATTTTGTCACTTTGAAAACCTTCATTTTTTGAGACTTCAAACTTTAGACTCTCATCAGTGGTCAATAAATCATTCTCATGAACTTATGAATTCAATACGTGGTAATATTTCTTTTCATTTATCCTTTCAAAATAAAGTTTACTGTTGTTATATGTGGCAATTTTATTGTTTTTCATATTTATTAGTGGGAAGAAGGTTGCCTATGAAACGATTATTAACGATTTGCTTCACATTGATCTACCAGAAACGATTTTATGTAATGTTTTTTATTTTAATTCGATTCCCGTGTTTTTAGGTTTGCCCAAATATGTGACTTATATAATAATAAAGTTATTCTCATCTTTATTTTATGAATTTCATTACCCATGTATGATTTATAGTTTGTCATTAATATAGGCCCAAAACAGTGTATCGTCCATAGGCCAAAAATGGGTAGAACCTGCCCCGTCGATATCATATGCCTTGTTTACGTCGACTACAATTCGTCAATTTGCGTGCAAGAGTGTGTTATTTCCTAAATAACACAACTTATTTCTCTGGTTATGAGATGTATTTGTAGACATATCAAAGAATGTTTAAATGATGTAAAATCATCACGTTCAATTTTATTTTAAATAGGGTTGGACTAGGGCCAGGTGGCCCGACCCGGAACCGGCCCGGGACCGGTACTATTCCGGCCCAGCCCGAACCGGTGACCCAGTCAGTGACCGGTCCGGGTAGGCCCGACCCATAACAAGGCCCGGCCCGGTCGGGCCCGGGCCCGGTTCGGGCCAAATTTATTTATTTATTTTGGTTTTTTCATTTGTTTGGGCTCCACCGGGTTGGGCTTGATGTTTAGGAGGGGTTTGGGGAGTGGGGGTGAGGGGGGGTCAGGGATGGGTAGCTAAGCAAAAAAAAAAAAATTAACCAAACCCGAGGCCCGGCCCGGCCCGGACCCGGACCGGACCCGGTGGCTACCCGGGCCGGTCCCGGGTCCAGCTATATAGAACCGCCGGCCCGACCGGGCCCGACCCGGCCCGAGTCCAACCCTAATTTTAAATACGTATAATAAATAATTTTTAGACCTAAGAATTCATAACCATACAACTTTTCATAGCTATTTATTTAAGTTAATTATTCAACTCTCTCTCATTAGTCAACATGTTTACTTTTTGCACTGAATTATAGAGAATAAAAATGTTGTTGATTTTTTTCTGGATGTATTTGATTTGATAATTTATTACCGTATGTGTTCAATATTATTTCAACATCTTTAAACTGAAATGATATTTGAACATGTGACATACTCGGAGTATTTGTGGTTGCAATTTATTTTAAAAGATGAAATTCTATATAAAATAACAAAAAAGTTCTAAAGTTGAAATGATAGTTGTTTGGACATAATAGCAGGAAGTTGAGTTTGGGATTGGCCAAGTTCAGCTATAAACAAACAAGTCGGATGGATGATAAAATTTATTAAAAGTTTATTCTTGATCATAATTTATAATTGTAAACAATTTAACATTTACAGGTTTCAAGTTCTAGATATCATTATTCTTAATAAAAATTTATTAATTCATGAGAAAATGTTTATAATAATTAAGAACAGTTACTTGAAAAAATTATAAAAACAGTTTGAACTAACTATATTAACAAAAAGTTATCAAACTAACTATATTAACAAAAAGTTAATTGATTTCCTAAAAAGTCATTTAACAAGTTATCAATCGATTGTAAACATTAATATAACCAAAACACCATTTGACAATCCATTAATCCTATTAGCTAATCAAGACAACCAATTGTAATTGTTGCTATCAATCAACTAACACAATCATCCAACAACGAACAACCAATTTCCAAACACCCCCTTCCACTTTCTTTTTTTAAATGCTCCAAATCGTTCTTTCAGTTTCTTTGAAAAAATGTGTTCTATATTGAATCTAGAGTTTACCTAAATTTTCTTTTGAAATAAAAATGTTTAAATTAAGGGAAAAATAATTAAAATACTGTTAGTACCCAATTTTGATAGATTTTGATGATGCCACTATACTTAACACGTGTACCTTGTGTCTCAATATTGTTCGTATGTTAGCATTCAAAATGATGTGACAAAATAAAATGTACAATTTTTGAGTCGAATTGAATATTACCGGAAAAGTTAAAATGCAATAAGGTAATTTTTATTTACCTTAATAGGATATTTAGATACTACCGGTATATATTATTTTAGCTCAAAGGTTAATTGTATGTCACATTATTAAAGAAAAGAAGCTCAGAAAATCAAATACATTGAATGTAAATGATTGAAGATAAAAATTTACTAGGCAATTAATACATGGGACCGGAGCATAGGACGCATATATTATTATTATGAGAAAATTTTCCGAAGAGATGCTTCAGCGGCTGAGATACTCAAGACAAAGAAATCATCCCAAATAAATGCTCCAGCACAAGAAGACGAATGTACAATTCGTCCTTGCAAGAATTTCAACGTCAGAGAGTAATTCATCCTAACCAACGGATGAGATTAATCCAAAGGAGAAGCCTATAAATATAGGCTGAAACGAAAGTTTCTAACTAAGCTTGAGCATCCTAAGTAGAGAGATATTTCTATTGAGCATTCACGAAATATCTAGCAAAAGAAAAAGTGTTATTCTATACTTTACTCTCTGCTTAGACTCTTGCTTCATTAAACTTCTTACTCTCAAGTGTTAATTGCTAAATCCTAGAAGTTTAGTTCCTAGTTGGAGGTTAGAACTTTCTTGTAAACCAATCAGATATTGTTGTAAACACTTCAGGAGGACAGCTGTTCCCTGCCTGAGTGTGGTTAGATAGGTCAGGAGTACCTTTTGATCCCCACTGGATCAATTGAGAAAAACCTAAAGGATTGAGTAGATTGGAGTGGTGTTGTACTCCTCGTGAAACACCTTCAATCTAGGCCAGAGTTGTCAAGGCTAGATTGACACTATGTGTATTGGGCTCAATACATTAGTGAAATCCATTTGAAATAGGATGGCATTGGATGTAGGAGGATTACACCACCTCTGAACCAGGATATACTGTGTGTTGATTTATTTTCAGTCAACAAAGCACACACTGAACACTTCTCATAAAAGATTGCAGTTTGCCAGCAGCATCCTAAGCAGTAGTCTTAATTTGACCCTACTGCTTATCCTACTGCTTAATAACTCACTTTCTTTGAGATACAAGAGCTTTATAATATCATAACTATATATAAGGTCTGTTCCATTAGATTTCAGGAAATCCTACTTAAGGCATATCAGTTGCCTCAGCAGTCCCCTGGTGACTACCCAACTGCTAAGCCCACTGCTCACGCAAAAGTGTTTCCTTTGAACATCTCAACTTCACCAGACCTTCACAACTCTATCTCCAAGAAGTCTGTTCAAACTGATCTCTGTAATTCAAAGTGGTAACCCAACAGGTGCCTCAGCAGTTCCCTCACTATCACCCAACTGCCGAGACCACTGCTCCAGTAAAACTCCCACTTACTTGGACTAATGCACATCTTCAGAAAGTCCTCATCATCCTGAGCAACATCATATAATCAATCTTCCCTTACCTTCACCTTTGTTTAAACAGGTGTCTCAGCAGTTCCCTGGTTACCACCCA